TCGAGATTACTCAGAAGACACAGTGGCCATGGAACGGGGATGTTTCTTTTTCTGTGAATATTGACGGTCCGCCAGTGAACTTGGAGCTGCGGCTGCGAATCCCTGGATGGGCAAGCACCTGGGAGGTTAGTGGGTGATCCTTCTCTACTTTGACGACCGTGCAGATTGAACAAGTCGAGGATCTGAACAAACTTTGTCAACCAGGTTACTCCGCAGCCTTCACGGCCGGACCTTCATGATGGGTATCTCTATTTATCCTCAGACTGGATCCAGCAGCATGCGGAATTCAGTCTCAGCTGTCCGATGTGCCCCCGAGTGGTAAGGCCACATCCATTAACGATGCAGCCTGTCGCCTATGTCACCCGCGGACCGATAGTGTACTGTGTCGAGGATGTAGACAATTCTCGGGAGAATGATCATTTTAAGGTACGAAGCAAGATCCACAAGAGATAGATGAAGCCGCAGCTGATGATCCATGAAGACAATAATCTTCGATATGAATGCACCTTTACAGGAGGAGGTACGATCGACTCCCGATCATCACGTGGGCATCATCGCCCAAGGTGGCTCTCGAGGAACTTTGGATACAACCCTTTGGAAGCGGCAGATTGCAGCTGAATCCGGCAATGTGGCTCCAATCAGCGAGGATGCGAGAGATTTGTGTTTTATACCTTATTATCTCCGAGCCAACAGAGGCGGAAAGGGACAGATGCGAGTGGGATTACGGGTTCAATAGAAAGTAGGGTGGAGGTGTGATCAGAAGAGATATATGCAGGTTATTCATGGACTGTCGAATGCTTTCTTCGAGATGGAGACGTAATGTAGTATGAAGAGCTGTATCAATGCTGTTAACGACGTCGGTCACATGCGTGCATATTCATGAGGCCGCAAGCAGATTTTACCCCGAAGTAGCAATCCCTTGGGTAAGTAGTGAAGATACAACGTGACCTCGAACACGATCAATATGCATCGGTAGATGATAGCAAAATGTAGATACCGGACAAGGAATCGAACTGCGAACAAATTCCTCAACGTCAATTTCTTTTCCTTTCCGATTGACATCATTGTCCTCTTACAGTAAGACACTTCTCTGATTGCAGCCAGAACTGCGCTTAGGTAAGCAACTGGCTGCATTCGACATGCTTCTCTGGGGATGCTGCAATAATGCTGACTGCTAAGTGGTAGATAGATGCTTTAGATAGCCTTGCTCCAGCTTATCAGCACCTTCCCCCCAAGATCAGCTGAAGGCGTCTCTGCATAGTGACCTAGGTTATAATCCTGATCACTAGGTTACTATTATTACCAGTGATGACGATGATGCCATCCAATGAACCGAGAATGAACGCATAGAGAGCTGGTATCGCAGATGGTCCCTACTTCTTACCCTTCTCTTATAATCTATTTACCATTCCTTTATCCTTGTCCGGTACTTCTCAAATAACAGGTCCATCTTGTTTTTATATCCTGTTCTCCGCTCCTTCCTGCTGCCTTTCTTTCCCCTCCTCTCTACTCCCCGGCATTCTATTCTGAAACGCAGCACGGATCTTCCCGCTCCCTGGCCATGTCCCAGTCTTTGGTTTGAAAGACTTGGTTCCTTCCACTCACTTCGCCTCCTCTCATGTTCGCTTTCCCAGGGGTTAGCGAGTAACTGGAGATGGTATTACAATAAGTCTGCCGTGCAGAGTGATAGACGAAAATAGAAACCGCTTGATCAATCCTTTCTACGCCCCGCCATTTCCACCAAGAACCCCTCTGCCTCCGTCTCGTTGAATGCAGCAATAAACGTCATCGGCGACCCCGATCATGATTCGTCGCAATTCAGATATTGAAATACAGCTTCCCGATGCTGGACCAACCGTTGCGCCAGAGTCCGTTACTGAACCAGACGTGGACATGCTCCCAGATGAGCAGCAGCCCCCGCTGAACTTACCCGCTCGGATCGCTGCCCGATTCTCACGAAAGTCGAGTTTGGCTCGACGCTCCTCTGCGACATCATCTCGTCGGAGCTCGATCTCATCCCTGCATTCGCACCATTCTAACGCCTCTTCCAATGGCTCGTCCTCCGCCGACCACGTTGCGCAACATTTGCGGCGAACCTCGATTTTGGAAAACCGCAAGGCAAGGCTTGCAGACCGTGCGTTGCATGCGGAAAAGGTGAGACTTCGTGCTGCACTTGCCGCTGCTACCAAAAACCTCCAACGAGAGGAGCGAGCGCTTGCTGCTCAGCAGTCACGCGAGCGGTTACTTGCGCAGATCACCGCCAAGTGCGAAGAGGAGGTTCGCCGCGCGAAGAAGAAGGCTGAAGACAACCGAGAAAGATTAGCTGCAGAACACGCCCGCCTGCGGCTGGAAATGGCGGAAAAGTTCGCGGAAGCAGAGAAAAGGCGGTTGCTTTACCAGCAAACTCAACGGCGTCACCGCACTAGTAGTCTCCCAGCGACAGAGGAGAAAAAGATGGCTCAAGTGGTCACCAAATCTTTGACTCGGGATGCAGCCGCAAGGACAATTCAACGTGTCTGGCGGGCACATCACGCGAAGCTGGTCATGCAGGAGTTTCGAAGTCTCAACCTCACAGTTAACCGCATCCGCACCATGAACTTCGAAGTTGTTGGGGCCATGCTCTCAGATGAGAACGTGTTATCCGCGACGGCCCGTGTCCTTCGACTTTGCGGGCTGCAAGATATGGAAAGTGGGACAGTTGGAGGAAGAGGTGCCGTTCGCACTTTTCTCAGCAGCTATCTGATCGTGACGCATCCCGCCGAAGTGCTGAGCAGCAACGGTGAACAGGAACAGGACCTAATTTCCAAAGCCCGTGAGCTTCTTGAAGAATTTGAGCAGGTTACCCCAATACTCTCGTCGGGGTGCTACTCACCGACGGTGACATCGACCGATCTTCAAACTTTGTGTGAGGCATACAGCGTATTTTTCTCGGCATTTCATGCCTGGAAAACTCACGATTCTAGCGTCTTGATCGAGATCATGCTTGCTCAGTTCGTAGAATTAGAGTTGATATGGCAGACGGTCAAAGATGACCGCGCCGGTGGTGTTGCCGATGACTATTGGCAAGGCATCAGGCAGAATCAAATTCTCCTCCTTGCTAGGCTGAAACGTCTGGCTGGCTCCGACAAGGCAATGCAGATGGTGCGGGACTCGCTCAAGAAAGCCAAGCGGGAGAGAAAACGTACAACTTTCAAGCAGGCCATCCCGCGATCTGCCGAAGTAGCTCCCTCATCGGCGGAGGCATTGACCGAGAGCGTGGCCTCACCACTCAGCGAGAGCTTCAACAACGTGGAAAGTCCAATCTTTCGCGAGCTGGATAAGCAAAGGATTTCTCCGCATGAGCGGTTTACTCAAGTGCTTACTGCTCTCCCTGAAAACCGCGCTCTGGTACACGAGCTTCTCATCAACAAGGAGTACAAAGTCGATGAGACGCAGTACACGACACCACGCAAGCAGATTATGAAGCATATGTGCGACATGATGCGTAAAGATGTGGATGCTGGAATGGGTGCAAACTGGATGGTGGCCATGGCCACAGTAATCCAAGATCGACTGCTGCGCTTGCTGCGACCCGGAAACTCACTCCACGTCCTGATCAGCGAGGTACTCGACCCAAAACTTGTGGAGGGCCAATGCGAAGCTGGCACCTTTTCTTATGAAAGATTTTTCGATTTCATGTACAACATTCTGCCGAAGCTTTGCGCCCCTTATCGGGATGCTGCCGTCAAGGCGTTCATCGAGGACTCCTCGGGCGATGCTATCGATCGTCTGGCGAGGCTGATGGGCCTCATCGATCTGCTGTCTCTGGATCATACCAATTTCATGATCCAGGTTGCTGCTCCGCAGCTGATACAAGAGGCTCCCGGGTATGAGCAAAGGACTTTTGAGCGGGGTATACAGGACGGGTCTATTAGCTTGGGCAAGTGCCGACGATTCTGGCGGACGAATCGCAAAATCCTTGTGGATGAGATGCAAAAACGGGATCCTGAGAATATCAATGGACAGCCTCAGCCGCCGGCTCCCAAGATTTATGCACAAGGTCTTGTGGACCTTGTCCTGAGCAACGCGCCTGTATCCGAGGGCCTCGTTCCTGAGACTCTGGACCTGGACCGTCAGCGGCTGGGGAGAATGCATGCGCGAGCGTTCAGAATCGTAGCCACCGCCTCGATTCTGCTTACAGCAAAAAACCTCCTTAAGCGGGATGTACGGTCACAATGGAAGGCTGAAGCGGACCGGATCTTATCTCTAGACTTCAACGATATTCAAGCGGATCGAGTGCAGTCAATCCTCGAATCGACGCATCCCATGCCTTCGAGCGCGAGTGCTCAGCTTTCAGCGACAATCCGGCGAGTTTTGGCGCCTGTGGCTACGGCGTGTGCTGCAGTTTCGCCTGGATCGATCGAAGTCCAAAGTGACCTTGTCGCGCCAAGATCCTCGTCGTCTTCGGAGTCTGATATCGCATCAGGATCCGGCCAAATGGCGTCTGGGCCAGCCAGCTTTACCGACCCGGTGGCGCGACTCATCCTGTCTCGCCTTCGCGCTCATGTCTTTTCTCGTCTGAGCGCTTCAAGCGCCAGTGAGCGGGTACGGGCAACAACTACAGCAAGTCAGAGCCTGGCGGGAGCAGGCATGCCGGAGTTCGTCAACGAAGTTGGACAACTGACTGAGGAACTGGAGAAGGTTCGAGAGGTGGACTGGCTCTGCCATGGCATGGTCTACGAACAGATATTGGAGGAAGGCATAGGCCCAGGAACAGGAGTTTGAAGGCGTTTAGTATTTTGCCTCAATGGATCTTTTTCTTGGATCTTTTTCTTTACTAGATGGTTTGGTTTGGTTTTCTCTTGCCCTTGTTTTCAACAATTACTAGATTCTGAGTCCAAGCATAATGCCACGAATGATTCAACAAGAACGGAAGAAATTTGTGCAGTCGTGACAGTGCGTAGTTTTCTTTGATCCGTCCCATCTTTTAACGCACGAGCCTCACTTTCTTTGACATAACAAATCAATCTACATCAAGGCCATCCGACAGCAAGTTCAAACAGTCTAGACGTAATAGCCTTGAAGGGGGTTCTCCATTGACCTTGCCATATCGGAGCGAGGAGCGACCCAGGTCTATCAATGATCCGCTATTGAAAGAACCCCACCTACTGGTCTGTCTCCGGGTCTCCGATCACAGACAACAGCGACAGCCCCAACGCAAGAACAAGGAGTTGAGAGAACAAGGGAAGAGGTATATCAGAAAAGCCTACGATATATGGCCATGGCAGCCGAATCATTCTCCCAGTTGTCTCTCCTATCGGATCTTACTCCTCCATCGCTCGAACGTACCTGGCTGACCGCACCGCACCCCACTCTCCCGATCGTTGCGACATGCAGCTCCGACAAAACGGTCCGTGTCTACTCATTGACTAATTTCCGACTTCTCTCGACTATATCGGGCGGCCATAAGCGCAGCGTAAGGACATGCGCCTGGAAGCCGCACGTCAAGGGGGAAAGCGTACTCGCCACGGGCAGCTTCGATGCGACCGTCGGCATCTGGCGACGCTGGGATACCTACGGGCAGACGGAGCGTGGTGTAGAGGATTGGCACCGTGCCGACACCCAGGATCATGCGGATGACATGAGAAATGGCAATGGGGCAGCAGGAATCGACAATGACGGCGGCGGCGGCGGGGCCGACGAGGACGACGAGGAGTGGCGGTTCGCCGTGCTGCTAGACGGGCACGACAGCGAGGTCAAGTCGGTGTCGTGGTCGCCGTCCGGGATGTTGCTCGCAACGTGCTCGCGGGACAAGTCGATCTGGATCTGGGAGGATCTGAATGACGGTGATAACAACTTTGAGACCGTGGCGGTCATGCAGGAGCACCAAGGCGATGTGAAGTGCGTTGCCTGGCATCCAGTCGAGGAGTGTCTGGCAAGTGCCAGCTACGACGATACCATTCGGCTGTGGCGGGAGGATCTCGATGATTGGGGGCAGGTGGCCTGCATCAAGGGTCACCAGGGCACGGTATGGTGCGTCGACTGGGAGGGCGCAGAGAATGTGCCGTCCACACCAACGGACTTGGCGGATGGCGATCTGGCCACCGCGCAGTGGAAGAAGGCGTATGCGCTTTCCGGTCCTCGTCTCGTCTCATGCTCTGAGGACCGTACCGTGCGGATCTGGAGACGGCAACCGAAGGAGCAGCAACAACAGCAAGCCCAGCCATCGCCGTTTGGAGGCTCGGGCATCCCGAGTATCATCCGTCCGACGGGGTCCGACGAGTTCTGGGACGAGGAGTGCGTTCTACCGCAGGCGCATGATCTGTCTATTTATACGGTAGCATGGAGCAAGCGGACGGGTCTGCTGGCATCTGTCGGGGCGGATGGTCGGATCGTGGTGTATGAGGAGCGCTTGGTCGTCGAATCGCCGGCAGAGTCCATGGAGACGGATCCTCCTACATCGGCGGACGGCACAGCAGCGGACTCCCCGGCTGCTCCTAGGAGTGAATGGAGAGTCATCGCCACGGTGGACGGTGCCCATGGAATCCACGAAATCAACCACGTTACTTGGGCGAAGCGCGCAGATCGTGGACGGACCGAGGGTGCCGACGAGGAGGTCTTGATCACCACGGCTGATGACGGCACCGCCAAGGTCTGGACTCTCAAGAGGTGATCGGTTTCATGACACTCGGGCTAGATTGAGTTTCACACAGGACCATCGGGAAACAGTCACATACTGATAGATCTGTTAAACGGAGTTGCACATAAAAAGCAGACCGTGCGCGACCTCTTAAATGGCATATACATTGACCAAGATTACTTCAACACTAGATCTCCGCTTCGAGGCGGCAATGGAACATAGACTCGATAAAAATTATGTATGCATTGTAGTTGACTACACGCTAGAGCTAACCAAGTTCACCGCAAAATTGACAATAAATATGGAACCGAAACAAAGGACCGGCAACGTCTATGGTTGAGCGCCTCCTGGCTTCGTGGAGCTCGGCGGTGCGGCAGGCTGGTGATTCGGACCTTCTTCATCACTGTCATCCCCGACAGCATAATGTTCTTGTTCCGGACCTGGTGAATGAAGGTTGTCGAGCTCGGACTCGTCAAAGTCGCCCGCTTCCACATCGGCGGGCCCGGAGCGTTTGTTGTGGAAGCGCTCCAGAATAGAGCCGCTGCCAATGTCCCTCTGGTAGACTCCTTGATAGCCGCGGTTTCGCCGGCGACTGCGCCAGATGAAGAAACCCCAGACCGTAACACCGATTATCACAACGATCAGAGCCGCCTCGCCAGACTTGGCGTAGGCCTTCCATTCTGTCTCTTTGATCTTCTCCTTGGCTTGCTGCTCGGCTGCTGTGCTGTTCGGGTGGCCGCCTACGGAGGTCTGCGGTAGCTTCTCGCCATCAATTCGTGAATCCGCCGGCTTGCCGCCGATATTGGCGATATCGACCTTCATGAAGCGGTCAAGCATGTCACGGCTCTGGCGAGGTAGATCGTAGGGTACCATATGGCTTGCATTGTAGAAGAGGACGTAGGTCAAGTTCCGAGCGTATTGGTAGATACCGGTCGGTTCACCTTCAAATGTCCAATCGTGACGCGGAGCCCAAACACCAGGGGAGGTTTCGAAGCCAGTTCCACCGTTCCACTTCATATTGTTGATCAGCTGTTCCGTGCCGACATGGTTGCAAATGAGATCCTTATCGCCGCTGAACAGTAGTATGGGAATGCCGGACTCGAGAAGCTCCGGTAGTAGTTGAACCGAAGGCACCGAGTTCGCTGCGTTGAAGGTACTGCTCACCGCGCCAGAGCATTCCTCCCATCCGGACTTCTTCTCGGGGTTAATGTTCAAGGCTTGGACCACGTCCGGGCGCTGCAAGTAGGGCTTCACGTCCACCAAGTCTGTGGGCCAATTCATTCCGCACGACGGATACGTATCTCGGAGGCGGACGTCGTACATGTTGTAGCACTGCTTATTTGTATCTTTCGTGCGCGCAAGAATCTGCTGCAAAATCTCCTCACAATCCCTGATGTTTATGGCGTTCGGTGATGCACTTATCTTCGATTCGCAGACGGACTGATAAACTTCAAGATCTTTGGCGAGACTGCTCCCTTCTGTGACAAGACCCTCCTCGTATGCGAAGGTGAGGTAAGAGGGGTACTGCTGGGCCGGAGAGATCCAACCATTACCGACCACAAGGCCGCGAAGATTCCACCGGACGCTCTGGTCATTCTGGATCTTATTGTTGCGTTCCTGTATAGCTTTGGCGATGTAAGGTATATGCTGACCAGCATACGACTCGCCTGCAATGTATATCTGATGACAAGTTAGAAAGCTACCACCGAGATCATCAGGCACTGAAAACGGGGGCACCTACATCGTCACGTTCGTACTCAGGAAATAGTTGAAACCACTTCTCCAGGAAGGTGATGAATTGAGCCGACATCTCATCGAGCTCGTGGATATAACTGTTGGTGCTGACGTAGCTGAAGCCCGTCCCGACGGGTTGGTCAACGAAAAGCAAGTTTGCAAATTCATCCCACGAGCCATTATTGTACTCCAGTGTATGGTTATCCTTGAGTCTGTAGGGACCGATTTCCATGAGAGCGCCGTCCATCGAACTGCATCCTGGCCCGCCGTTCAGCCAGATCACTGTCCGCTGGCGGTTGGCGATATGACGGTTCTGGTAATGCCAGAAGAAAAGGTTGCCGTTATTCTGCGCATCTACTTCGATATGCCTGACCAAGCGCAAATCATATTAGCCGGCATCTTAGGAGCATCAGATCCTCAAAACACTGGAACTCACCCGGCATGCATCTTCAACAAGGGCCCTTCTGGGGCACCAGGCAATGATCGTACATAGTAGTCTGCAGCAGATTTGGCTGAAACTAGGGTCGGACTGAACAGGAGGAGGAGCGACAAGGCCCACCACGAAACGTTCGCGATGCCCGATGGCGCTCTTGACCCTCGAGATGAGGGTGCTGTCAAGAGCATCTCAAGTGACCAGGGCGAGGGACAGTGGGATCAATCCTTTTTTTGATAAAAGTACAGACACCAGATCAAGTACTATGCGGGAAATGGTTCTGCGAGGGCTCTGAGGGCGACGCTCAACGTATCATTGGTGAGGGCGATTGCCTTCTTGGTCTCCCTACAATTCGGAGGATGGCAGCCGTTCGGAGGTCCGGGCTTAAACGATGATAGAGCAATTTCAGACAAAAAAGCAGTATGAACAGAAGAGCAAGACAATCACACTGATTAGTGGGAAAGGACAGGAATGCTGGACCAGGTCAACTGGTCGATGGTGTAGGACAGTATATTGAGGCTGATTGTTGTTAGTTCTTATTCTAAAAGTAGCTCTCTAATAACGGCGATGACGGCGCAAATCGATCTGGATGGCGTGGCCTGTGACAGTGGTACAGTACAGTCGTCATGTATTGTACTTGACAATGATTAGTAATCTTGTACGGTAACCTTATGGCACCCAAGTAGTTAGATTATTTCCGTTATAGGCAAAGGACTTGATACAGTACCTTATTCGACAGCCGAGCAGTACCTGTACGGTACAGACTCTTTGCGGGCTGTATTCCCTATTTCCGGCTATCTATAGAGACTATTGATTGGGGTTGATGAATGGAATACGAGACATACGAGGAATTGATTTTCTAAGCCAGAGAGAGATACGAGACTGAATGGCTCATACATATACATATTTGGCAGTGGAGTCAAATATCTCTCTCACGGTACATGAACAATGTGCCCATGCTGCACCTAGATCTAGGTAGCAACGAAAAACTAGGCTGAAACAGAAGCCAATTGACCCATCTATGCCTCCGCAGATCAAAGTAGCCATCCAGAGCCATTCTTAAGAAAGGCCAAATTGTAGAGAGCTGCATCTTAGAAAGAGTGACTGGGCAGGGGTATTATGCAGTTGATGACCCTGTTATGTACCCTTTCAACCAGCAACTATCTACTGTACGTCCTGGTACCTTCATTGCCACCATTCAAAGATCAAAACAGGTCATCCACAGCCTTGTCAGCGTCCTTTTTGATAAGGTCAACCATACCCTGTGCATGTCAGCGTCTCTGTACATTTGGGGCTCAACACTAAGAAAGACATACAGCCGGCATAATGGGTTGACCATCGTCTCCTTTCACATAGCGGAAGGGCATTTCGGTCCGCTCATGTTTGTTGACAATGATCTCGGGATAATCGACAAATTCGATCTTCTCCAATGGCACTAATCATAGTTAACATCAATGAACAGATGGGTCAAGGTGACACACGCAATCTGATACCTTTCTCTTTAACCACTATGCGGCTCACTCGCACGGCCGTGTCAGTAGTCATCTGCTTAGGACCAAGTCGTCTTCCGACATAGCCTTTCTTTCTCAGTTCGGATGTACGATCTATATCCAGGGTCAGTAACTCTTCCTCAGGGAAAAGCATGTTGTTCAATCAAACGCACCTCGTGGCGGATCATCGCCTGTCCTTGGCCAGGAAGCCAGCAAGTTAGTACATTTCCTCAAGTCGGACCAAGCAAATCCTCGCGTCAAGAATAGCCATGGGGGAACTACGAACCGAGGATGCCACCGAAGAGAAAGACGTCAAAGATGTCTCCATCTTCGGGGCTCAATTCGACCTGGGCTGCAGGGTCTAGCAGGCAGACCTTGGACTTGTGGTCTGCGAAGATCTCCTCGACACTACGATGCTCAACCTCTAAACCTTGTGTCGCGGCCAGGTCGTTTGGCAGTTGCAAGGAGGTCGGCACGGAACTGAGGAGAAATCTTGCTCCCGCCGCATGCGACTCCCGCGCAATACAGCCGTATTCCAAGGCTGACCAGGGACCCAGCTCTGGGTCCAAATGTTCGACCACAAAGGTCAATTGTCTAGCCGACGGTACATTATTCTGAAGAGACATTTTTTGGGTTCCTCTTTCGAAATAAACGAATGGAGAGATTGGGGGATGGACTTCGGAAGTCTTTTTCTAGGCGGAAGACAAGCTCACTGGACGAGGTAGTATGGGTATGGATCCAGTGAACGGTGGGGTTTGGAGTCCATCTTCCAGTCCAGATGGTGACGAAATCTACACAATGGGATGAACAGAAGGCAGTAATTTGCCATGCAGTGAGCATGCAATCAATTCATCGATTCTTTTTCAAGCTATATATGTTGAAGAATGGATGGACCTTTTACAGCCAGGTACCCCACGAAGATTGAGCAAGTTAGAAAGCCAACCCAACCCCTCTTATCGATAACCATGTAGAAAGGTATACCTAGATATAATAATTATAATGATGTATGGATACATAGTTGATCTTCCTCTTGGGCTGTTGAGTAGACTCGAGTACAGTGCCGTTCCCCTCTACTATCTTACTCCCTGATCCAAGGGACCAAGTTGGGATGTATCATCATGGTTGTGATTACTATTGGGCAGAGATCGCATGTCCCGAACTGTGTACTATATAATACCACCATCATCTGCCTCATCATCCGAGCAATTCCAATTCTTCTGCTTTATTCTTAATTATATTCCTTCAGTTTCCCCCAAAAAAATAATTATAACACTTAAACTTCCCTTCCCCGCATTCGGTAGGGATTTTCCGACTTATCCTGTCGACGCCCAACGCTCCCTCTGCCTCTCTCTGTCTTGTCTTATTCCCTCATATTTTCCGCCGCCCCGCCTTCATACGACTACTTCATACTTCACTCCGACGGCGACTATTAGCGATCTATCTACCTTACTACCCTCAACAGACCTCACTCCAATAACACTTTCAAACATCGAAAACTGAAATCGTCATTTTCTCGATTGGATTGATTGATTTGACTTGCACTTGCCCACATCCAGTTCATCAGCACTTGAAAATGAATCCTCATCAACAGAACAAGGTGGACACCAGCGTAAGTGTCCTCACAAATATTGTTTAACCCTTCTATCTATATTCCATGAAATATTACATCTTGGAAGAACTAACTAAACTTTCGTTAGTCCTTGAGCCCCGATGAACAACGTCTGCTTCGTCTCTACGGTAAAATGCCCACCAAGAAAGACCTACTTCAGAACAAGCTCAAGGTATGGGTTGCTTCGTCAGCTTCTACGTCCTTGTTGTTCAGGGAGTCCCGCTCTAAATCTTTTCGCTCTTCTAGGAACGAAAATACTTCGATTCGGGCGACTATGCATTGAGTAAAGCCGGTAAAGCTTCGGATGTCGGGGTCACTAATATCGGTTCTAAGCACCCTGTTCCGGAGAACATCCCACATCTGACTGCTACATCCCCCGGCGCAAACAACCCCGCTGCCGCCAGTAATGGTAGCAGTGCCAGCTCTCAAGGCCAACAGATCCCTGGCAGTATTGGCGGTCACCCTGGTTCGATCGGATTTCAGAGCCGGAGCCCCGTGAAGGAAGCAAGCTACCTACAACGCGGAACTAGCGTGGATGATTCGGAGGGCGCCGACGATTCAACCAAGGAGGGGAACGAGCCCAGCGTGAGCCCTCCTCCTGCTCGTGATGGTGTTCCTATCCGCCGATAGCCAACAGAATCCACCAACTTGCGTTCTGTGTCTATCTTTCTAGCGGATTCAATCGTGGTATCAAAAGGAGCTGGGCGCTGTGGATTGTTTCGCCTTTGGTGTGATTTCGAGAGCTTTCAAGCTTGTGATGGAATACTGCAGAGCAGGTCGAACCAAGAAAGATCAGATTGCCAAAGCCAGCTGCGCTTCAGATTCAAAGAGAAAGAGAAAGGATCAGTGTCCGGTCGCCCTGGATCACTTCTTCGCCCCTCCAGACACCTTCCCCCGAGGGGTAGGGGCCAAATTTTGATTCTGAAACGTCGCGGCGTCCCAAAAAAAAAATGAAAGGATCGTGCCCCGATTGACCGGCTGGCCCCTGGGTGACCTTACATCGATCATTTTTGGCATTGCAAACTATAGCCATGATTACGAGTCCTCTTTCTTCAATCCATATCGATTTCCTGTATCAGACAATCTCGTTGCTTGGCATCCTGTCTATCAACGAATAGCCTGTATTGTTTGTCTGAGCATATCGCCTTGATCGCCTCTTTTCTGGCCTCTTCATTGATGAATTATCACTTTACAACCAATTTTACCTTGGCTGATGGGTGATGTCGATTAGCATGCCATTTATGGTACAATTTGTGCATATCTAAGTTTCTACAAGTAGTTCAATATGGAACCTACCTGACTCAAAAAGTGTTAACGACAGGCATCTCTCATCTAAACTGTCTTAAGACCACCTCACGATCTCACAGAAGCGCGACTCGCGTTTCACTTTTACTACATCTTCTATGATTGTCTAGGAGAAGTAGCAGTCGGCGAGTGTAAGCTTATTCATCGGGGAAGTACGCCTCAAATCACTGGCGTCCATCAAGTTCTACCAGGGAGCTCTACCATATGTGCGGGGTGCGATAGGAAATGACTGCTCAGAGCAGAGCTAATCAAGACTATTTTATCTGGCCTAGCATAAGTCTAGATTCAGAAAAAAAGAAGAAGCAAAGATGGCAAGACCAATCGCCACCAGAGAACAAAATAACGCGAAACTTCATTTGACATTGGACATGCCGCCAGACGGGGTATAGAAGTCAACTCAAAACTCAAAAGTACAAAGAAGGGCCACGTCTCATCCTCACGCCGATGAGTACATGCCATGCTAAGGGAAAGTTGTCGAGGCAAAGCCAGAGAAAAGGGAAAAAGGCACAATAGAGGAATGAACAGGGGTATAGTGCATGGCGACCAACAGGATAAACAGCAAGGGAGCAAAACGGAGGGATCCTGGGAGCTTTTCGGCGCTCTTTAGCGTCTGAAGACCATAGGCAGCAGAAGGCGAGACTGTCCCAGAATCTAGTAACGAGATAAGCCCGTATCTCGAGGATGGTCGCCGAGCCTCCCACAGCGGATTTGCATATCCTTCCCGGAAACTCAGGCATGAGAACGCATGCTGCATGTATCTCAGCTGCACGATGGCCATTCCTTCGCAGGGGATTCCTCAGCTACCATGATCGAAATAGCCATGACCATCGAACTCTCCGACTAAATGTGCGCCTTGAAGCTGCCAGAGAGTAGTCAGAGTGAAGCATGAGGGCTTGCGAGATGCATTGTGCGGTCCTTGGCTTATTTGCAAGCCAGAACCTTGCAATTTCCGTCGGGTCGAACGTCCCGGAAAACTCGTGCGCCAAACGTATAGTGCGAGTCGCCATATTGAGGTACACGGAATGCTGTCGAAACAGTGGGCCGGATGCCCTATTGACGTTGCTGAGGCGACTCTTTCCCAATCATAGACGTCCTTGAAGTTCCAGTGCGCATCGAAATGCGACAAAAGTTCACGAAACTCCAAAGTCTCACCCCCGAGACTTCAGTCCGTTTTCCAGTGCCCAGCTAATCCAGTATCTAGGTCGTTGTTTTCACCCAGCCATAGCTCGACAGCGTATAGAGCCAGGGTGCAGGCGAGGTTGACCCACCTCCACAGGTTCCCGCCTCCACCTCCTTGAATGCTCCACCACTGGCCGCTGCCACCCATCGCTTGCGACGTTGTGGCAAAGTGCTGCATTAGAAGACTTGTATAAACAGCGATGAGTATCGACGGGGAAAAGTAGCTCAAAAAGCCCAAGAATTGACCCGCAGCATCAGTATCGTCCAAAGAAGCCTCTTGAGAAAGCGCACGTGCCCCAGATTCCCGAACAGCAGGAATTATCCGAGTGGATGCATACAGAACGAAAATACGGTATGCGAGTGAAATCAGGACGGAGGGAGTTACAGCGCTGAAGACGGCAGTAATCACGTTGAAACCTGCATGAATGATGGAAGGCAGCGAAGACAAAGCATGCATGAGTGTGGAGTAGGATGCCATGATGATAGGTGGAAGGGGTGGGAGGTCGCCGGTCTGAGAGGGCGAAGAGCCCTGCTCAACTGGGTACGATGGCTGGTAGTCGGTAAAGATCTGATAGATGCACAATACGACGTAGGCGAATAGAAGCGAGCTTTCGACAGGGTTGCCACGGCCACTGCCAATACCCCAGGCGCACAGAATCACAGCACACGTAATCGATACACCGATCAAAGCAGCATCGACATTCGATATCTCGGGAAACTGAAGAACGCGCCAAAGAAAGTACACAGAGCTCGATATGACAGAGGCGGACAGTACTAGAAGGGCAATCTGCAAGTGTAAATTAGCATCCATTCATCTGCGTTCACTCCAGGGACATAAAGAATCGGTGAAAATAGAAAAAATCATACCATCCAGCTATCACTTCGTCCGCCGCGGTTAACGAGCCAACGGGTGATCTGCCCTGCCGCTTGTATGACCAACAAGCTGCAGAACCCTTCGACAAGCTGAAAAACAGGTGTCGACCATGTGAGAAGCTTGTACCAGTTACCAATAGTCACGGTCTCGATGAGTCCATCAGGTCCAAAAAGCCACTCCTGGACCGATGAATCCTGGGCTCTCTTGCCGCTGAATGTGCGTTCCACCCAACTACTCGTGTTGTCGGTATCAATCGAAAAGCGATTCAGGGACCAGATCAGAAGTATCGGTATAATAATCCATTGCGTAGAGCGGATAAGGACGATCACTGATGACCGGAACCATGATCGCTCAGGGGTGGTGAGCCTCAGGAGGGAAAAGATGAAGTAAAAAGTCGCCAGGGATAGAGAAAACGCCAAACCGCACGTCTTACCACCCACATCGAAAGCCAGTGGGATGGAGGAAACAGTGACGGTCAGGAAGAGGGCCGACGAGAGGATCCGAAAAAGCCACATCGGGAAATAGTACGGGGCAGGAGATCTGCCCGAGAGAGGACGCGGGAGGAAGAACGGACGCGAAAGTTGACACTGTAGAGACCTTTGAATCTGGCGAGTGATAGGAGACCCTGACCTTTTAACAAGTAGACATCGAGCTTGACCGAAACCAAAGTCTGGATAGATAGGTAGATGGAAGAGATAAAACTTTTTTCCTACCCTCTCTCCCCCTTTGGCCCTAGTTCTGTAGGATAATTCGATCTTATCTACCAAGCGGGACAGGATGATGTCTTTTCACGTGGCACTGCACAAGTATGGTAATGATAACGTGTGGAGCTTGCAACAACAACAGCAAGTTCTCACAATATGTATGGAAAGAAGGAATCAGAAAAATAATAATAGAAATAATAACGTAAGAAGCGAAGATGCAAGAAATTTTTTTTTTCTAAAAGAAGAGGACTGTCTGTTCGGCGCAGTTTGGTTGGACACAGGCAAAATCACGAAGGGCTAATTAAGAAGCTAGCGGCACTTTGGCACGGATAGAGGCGGTGGACAAAACATAGCAGTCATGATGTAGGTAGTGGCGGTCACAGGGCATAAGGCGAAGAAGAGAAGTGTATAGAGATAGTTGAAGATGGATGAGGTCATTCAGTTATCTTCAATCTATCTACTGCATCTAGGAGAGGTGAGATCAGCAGCAATGTCTCGTCGCAATTAATTCAATGTACTCCGTCCGTACCTCTTGTTCTCATGCGACAGTTGTTTACCCTCCAATACCGCTTCGGTATTGATGCCTGGCACTATACCTCGAATGGTCTGGTCCGTACAGAGTATACAAACACAGGGTACAGCTTTGGAAGTTGCTTGCCATTTCAGGTTTAGTGGTTGTTGAGTTCTCCACACTCACATGTCGCGGAGAGCCCTTTGATAATAGCCCTAATAGCTGTCCTGATGCGGTAGCTGTTACAGATAAGAGGCAGAGATCATAGATAGATCCTGCGCCAAGTATCATTATCGTTCATTGCTGGTAGTATCCGTACATTATTGTTTGTTGAATGCTACGATTGCGACAGCTGTTCAAAATGGCCGATGAAACCGTTGCGAAGAAACTGAAGACCTCCCCTCCTTTGATCGGAACTCATAAGTATTCATTTGACACTCCTTCGATAATGGTATTCTCCCAGAGACTGATTATCCATTCAGCGGTCATTTCCACGCCGACGAGGCTCTGGCCGTCTATCTTCTTCGCCAGCTCCCGACCTATGCCTCCTCTCCTCTCATTCGTACCAGAGATCCGGCTCAATTGGCCACATGTCACACCGTTGTCGATGTTGGTGGGGAGTACGACCCAGCCAGCAACCGCTATGATCATCATCAGCGTACCTTTTCAACCACCTTCCCAAACCACAACACCAAGCTTTCTTCCGCCGGCTTAGTGTACATGCACTTTGGTCGGGCGATCATTGCCCAACATACTTCACTCCCGCTGGATCACGAGGATGTTACCTTGCTCCATGAGAAGCTTTACACGGATTTCATTGAAGCGGTTGATGCCAACGACAATGGTGTCTCAGCCTACGACCCCGCGGCTCTGGCATCGGCCCACATTGAGAAACGTTTCAGGGACGGTGGTATTACAATCACTTCGGTGGTCAATGATATGAACAACCCCGACCCTACTTGCCCACCTGGAGAGCCCCAGGATGAGGATAGTCTCTTCAGCAGGGCAAGCACATTTATGGGACACATCTTCACTCGCAAGTTGCACCATGCATTTACTTCATGGCTTCCGGCTCGGGCGACCGTTGGCGCTGCCTACCGGTCCCGTCGCGAAGTTCATCCCTCCGGCCGTATTATCATTCTTCCACAGGGCGGTGTCCCTTGGAAGGAGCATCTCTACAATTTCGAGAAGGAAGCCTCAGGCGCTGGGGACGTCAACCCCGACGAGCAGGTCTACTATGTGCTCTACCCCGAGAGCGCTACTGAAGGATCCAAGTGGCGCGTCCAGTGCGTTTCGGTAAATGAGGGTAGTTTCGAGTCCCGCAAGCCCTTACCAGAAAGCTGGCGTGGCGTTCGTGATGCTGATCTGGATGGCTGCCTTGCCGCTGAAGCCGAGAAGGCTGGTAAGCCTAAGATCCCAGAGGGTGCAGTCTTTGTTCATGCTAGCGGCTTTATTGGTGGACACAAGACAAAGGAAGGCGCATTTGCCATGGCTGTTCGGTCATTGGAGCTATAATGCTTGATCTAAAAGTGCCTGCAGAATTTTAAAGCTTACAGTTTTTGGGACTGATGTCCGCTAACCACGTAATTCTTAGCCGCAGTACCTAGAGACTTGGTCTGTGGGCTAGAAGGTTTAACGTGATTTTTACCGGAACGCCTGCAGTCTGAAAAGCCTTTCTCCATTTCAGTAGTTTCTTTCATTCGACTGTGGTTATGGGAGAGTGGGCAATCATTGCTGGCGAGGTACTCAATAATGCTCCTTGAGCTGGAATGAAATTGCTCTTCAGAGTTTACGAAGCATAAGAAATGCTGATCTTGTTCATGTAGACATTCTCACGTTTCTTCTTCCTTCCTGACGACGGATGTCTAACGAGCCAAACTACTTTAGCTCCTGACCTGCAAGATCCCATTCAACCTTAGAAATACCCCCAGACCCCATCAACCAGAGCGTCTTGAGTTTCGGGCCAGTCCATGCGAAGTTCTGCACGGTATAATTCGTTTGAATTGTCAACAGAAGCTGGCCATGAGGATCGAGAACATCAACGCCTCGTCCATTGCCGGTCACGATGTACCCATTGGCAGCAACCTTGAGACCGTCTGGGACATATCCAGCAGACAGATAAACAGGCCGCTTGTTAGATGCTGTGGTACCATCTTTGCTCACGTCGAAGGCATAGATGGTTCTATAGTCATGGTGCACTCCGTTAGTGAGTCCAGCCTTTAGTTCCTTGTCCCTTTGAGCTCTTACCTGGGGCCTGTGGCATTAAAAGGTGTTCCCGGGTGGCCGAATTTGGGATCGACCGGTCCACTCACTGCGCCAGTGTCGCTGATGTACACAATTGAGTAATCCGGGTTGAATGCGATGCCATTGGGCTGACTAAGGGTGTCATCAACCACAAAAACGGCGCCAGATTTAGGGTTGTATCTGTATGTAGCAGATGGAAGCTGAGGGGGTGTATCAGTGAGCTTATTGAACCATGAGTATTCTGCTAAGGCGTCAGTCCAATGATTTCGCAGCAAGTAAATCGGGAGACATGAAGGAGACATACGCGGGTCTGTGAACCAAATGTCGCCCGTTTTGCCGTGCACTGCCAGATCGTCGACCGTATTGAAGTAATAACCATAATAGTTGTTGAGCAAAGTGACGGTCTTGTTGGTTTCAGGGTCGAGCGTTCTCAATCCGGGCCGCTGCTCAGTGCCGCCGATCGACCGGTTACCGCCAGAGGCTCCCCAAATCACTCTGCCATTGTAGAATGTGCCCCCATTGGGCGCGTAGACCGGAGGATCGGAGAGAAATTCTGATAGCGTAGGCGGATCTTGATTCAAGTCGACAACAAGCTGCGGAAGATAGCCTGCTGGAGGCGCTAATTGAGACAAGTAGAGCTTGTTCTGTGCTGCAACATAGACCGGAGCCTCATGCACGGCATCCGAGACGGCAAACATATACTTATAAGTAGGCTGAGTTCCAAGGATCTTCAGGCCTCTTTCCTTATCATAAACAACGAAGTCGGCTGATTTTATGTTTTGTAATGAAGTGCCATTTGCTACTACCGTGTCACCAAAGGTTGTGGCAACCTGAGAGGTGGATATGTTTCGATAGAAATGATATCTGAAAGGACAGTCAATTCCAGCTGTGTAACATACTGGGCGTGGATACTGGCTTGGGGTCAAAAAACGTACGGCAACACATTTGCATAATGTTTGATGCACACAACCGAAGGGCCGCAGTCCTCAGAGATGCGATCCGTAACGCCGGTCTGCGTAAGAGCCAGCCGGGCAAAAAGGAAAGAACACGTCAAGGTGGCCCAATACATGTTAACTCAAGGGAGTTTGATGGAGATCACTGCGAGAGGAGAACTGCTTGTTCGTGGGCTTTCCCTGCAACCCCGAGGATTGCGGTCATATATAAAATAGTGTAGGAGTATGGTCCCCGCCCCCACGCGGAGGAAGAAAAGCATCGAAGAATACTAAGAGCTAGTATGACAGAATACCCAGAAAACCGGGGAAATACCGCTACACAGCTTTGAAGCTTAAAAGCTTTCGTCGGAACTGCACTGAAACGGCAAGTGTAGTCCTCGAGTGTGGGGGTGAATGGGCAGCCTGTATAGACCTGTGGAGTAATGATCGCCCACAAGGCCTGCTCTGAGAGGGGAATGATTGACGATATCAAAGACATAATGCTTAGCCATCGTCATTGGCAACTTCCGATGAGCTTCGCATTCCAGGGTTGAAGACCGAGAGCCAGGTAGGGTGCCGGGGTCGGCTGCCATCCGGTCGGAGAAAGTCCGATTAGGAGACCGTACTCCATAGTGCTGCTGGGGAAGACACCACAGCGCTGCAACATGAGAAGAATAATGGATCCTTGCATGAGAACAATAATGCGACCTAATGGCGAATGTTCAGTGAGCTAATGTCCTCAATGCTCCCTGTTCCATCACCGGCTACTTGGGCATCCTTGACGTCAGGATGGATGTCCGAAGCGTCCTCCCGTTCTCCAAGCGCTCGCTGGATAAGCTTAGCCTTGATTGTAGCGCCCTTAAGACGCTCATCAACATCTGTGACAGCTTCTTCCGTGTTCTCCATAGGCAACGAAGCTGGATCAACTAATTCGAGTAGAATCTCGAGGTTTTTGGCCAGCCGTGAACTGGCGGGAAGCGGCAGCATCTCCTTGCATACGAATGGTTCTAAGAGAAGATCATCCTCATTATATTGCTGGGACTTGCGGGTATCTGTTTTATCACTCTCCTGTGACGAATTCCGGGAGGAGTCAGAATCTGCGAGTCTTTGGGCCCAGACGAGTGCTTTGCCATATAGTCTTCCCAATTCAACAAACTTTTCGAAGCCTTTTTCAACGGCAAATACGCTTCCTTCGGTGTAACCAGCCTGGGCACCATCAGTCGCACCCAAATTATAGCCCTCTTGGTAGAATTCCTGCTCCAGGTCGAGAAGACTGTCAAGTATATTTTTTTCCATGGCGAATCGGACAGCGGGATGAGACTGCGGGTAGAACAATAAGCGAAACCAGGCACAGGTCGGAGGCAAAGAAGAAGAAATAGAAAAAAGGTAGCCTCGAAGAGACAGTAAGATCTGTATTTCTGAGCACAATCGGGACAGAGTGGATCGCAGGTTGACACTTGTTGATGTTCCCTTTACGGAGTACACAAAAAAGCCGAGATAGATAGCAGATTAGAACCATCCGGCTCCGAGCGATGAATCATCCGCACCTTGAAACATTTTCTGCCCCTCCGCAACCCCGCCATTCTGTAACCAACAACCATGGCTTCAGAAACCAAGATTTTGCCCAAGAAGGGCGAGCGGAACGTTCTCATCACAAGTGCTCTGCCTTATGTCAATAATGTGCCTCACTTGGGCAACATTGTAGGTTCAGTTCTCAGTGCCGACGTCTTCGCTAGGTGTGTCTTGTGCGCCGCTCTTTGTTCCGCTACTTGAGGCTCACCTAGGATATGTCCAGATATCACAAAGCTTGCGGACGACAGACTCTTTACATCTGTGGAACAGATGAGTACGGCACTGCAACGGAGACGAAGGCCTTGGAGGAGAAGGTGACGCCGGAGGAACTCTGTGCCAAATACAACAAGATCCATCAGGATGTGTACGAGTGGTTCGAAATCGGTTTCGACCATTTCGGCCGCACTCCCACCCAGCAGCACACAGAAATCTCGCAGGCAATTTTCAAGAGGCTTTACGATAATGGATACCTGACGGAGAAGACCGCGGAACAGCCATTCTGCGAGGCGCACGGGTCTTTTTTAGCGGACCGCTATGTCGAGGGAGAGTGCCCGCGGTGCCACTACGAAGATGCTCGAGGAGATCAGTGCGACAAGTGCGGCCACCTTCTCGATCCTTTTGATCTCATCAAACCTCGCTGTAAGCTCGATGGAGCTACGCCCGTGCGCCGCTCCACGAAACATATTCACCTTCTTCTTGACAAACTGCAGCCTGAGATTGAGAAATGGGTTCTCCCCGCCATGGAGAAAGGCAACTGGCCCAAAAATTCTAGGGACATCACCAAGGCATGGTTGAAGGAAGGCTTAAAGGACCGTGGCATCACCAGAGATCTCAAATGGGGTGTTCCAGTTCCCCTCCCTGGATTCGAGAATAAAGTTCTCTACGTGTGGTTCGAGGCCTGCATCGGCTATCCGTCGATCACGGCCAACTACACTGCAGATTGGGAGAAGTGGTGGCGCAATCCGGAGGAGGTTGAACTGTATCAGTTCCTTGGCAAGGATAATGTGCCCTTTCACAGTGTGATTTTCCCTGGGTGCGAGCTCGGAACCAAGGATAAGTGGACCATGCTGCACCATCTCAGTACCACTGAGTATCTGAACTACGAGGGAGGCAAGTTTAGCAAGTCTAGAGGAGTCGGCGTCTTCGGAAACAACGCCAGGCAGACTGGCGTGCCCCCAGATGTGTGGCGGTACTACCTTTTGAAGAATCGTCCGGAGACTGGCGACACCCAGTTCGAATGGCGTCCGTTCGTCGAATGCAATAACAGCGAATTGTTGGCCAAATTGGGTAACCTGGTTAACCGTGTCGTCAAGCTGATTGCAGCTTCTTATGACTCCACTATTCCTGAGTTCACCGTTCCCGAGAGCTTTCAGCCGAACTTGGACGAGATCACAAGCCTCCTGCGACAGTACATTGAAGAGATGGAAGGCGTGCATCTTCGCGCAGGTATTAACACCGCGATGAGGCTCGCGGAGGCTGGAAACGGTCTCATCCAGGCCAATCGACTTGACAACGCCCTCATTGCCAACGAACCTGACCGGGCTGCCGCGGTTGTTGGTACCGTCATCAACTTGATCCACCTTCTCTCCAGTGTCTTTGCTCCTTACCTTCCTGCTACCTCCAGGTCTATTCTCGAGCAGCTGAACGCGCCCTTTGGAGTCATCCCATCTCTTGATGAACTCAAAGATGGCTGGAAACCGGTGGCCCTGAAGGGAGGCCACAAGATCGGTAAGGCCAAGTATCTCTTCTCTCGCATCGACCCGAAGAAGGCCGATGAATGGCGTGAGCTGTTCGGCGGATCTCAGGCAGACAGACAGAAGAAGGAGGATGAAGCTGCCAAGGCTGCTGCAAAGAAGGCAGCCAACAAAGCAAGCAAACTGAAGAAGAAGGAGAAGAAAGCGGCACAGGCAGCTTCAACTAGTGTTGAGGCTTCCGCTAAGGGAGGTGCAGAGGGGACTGATACTACTACGGAGGGGAAGAACGATGAAGCGGTTGAGAAGGTTGTCGATGGCATGGCCCAGGTCACGATCCCAACATCGTGAGCTCTCATTCATTATCCAATGAATTCTGAGATTTTTACTCCCCAAGAGGCTTGAAAAGCCTGGAATGACAGTCTTACATGATATCGAAAGTCATTGTGATGGCTGGAGTGGTTTGGGTTCTCGAATCCCTCGTGGTGTCTTGGAGATGACCGGCTGGCATGAGATACGATGTAGGAGAAATGACAAAGTATTACTAAGATTTATTGACGATACCCTTCGCCAAGCAGATTACTGACTTCAACTTGATTTTATGGGCATTGGGTACCAGCGTTTGTAGTGAGTACTCCGTAGGCACCAGATGTTTAGGCAGTATGCGTTTGGACGGAGGACAGTCTTCCATGGCATCTCCCTGCCGCGACTGTCCTTGGGACAATATAAAATTGCTGTCTGCAGAGTAGTATCGACTTGCCCTATCGTTCCCCCTATTATCCATCCCGTCAGAAAAGATATCGTGTCGCTAACTATTTGGTAAACGACGTTTGACTGCCTTTCTCGAACTTGGGGTGTTTTTATCTTATAGGAAGGCGGTATGTGCGGTGTCTGAGGATTTTGCCTACCTCTCATCAGTGCCTTAAGGCTCAGGTCCCAAACCGAAGGTACTTGCACTTGATTCGTGTACACCGCGTCAAGACTTGTCTCATACGCTGCTTTTCCTCCTTGTCCGGCCCTGGTTGTCTGTTTAATTATACCAGGAACTTGTTGCACCGGAAATCTAAACCACTTTCACTCTTTATCATTCGTGTGCCTCTCAGTCTGGGTTCATTCGTTGTTCAGCACATACCGCGCAAAGCCACGACAGAAGGAAACAGAAAAGAAAAGGCTCTCCCGTTCGAATGTCGCTCTTCGGGAACGTCGGCGCTACGTCGACTACAGCTGGTCAAACAAACACCACAGGCGATATCTCCAAAGATGTACCGCTCAACTCGCCGCCCGAAGATGGCATCTCTGATCTTCGGTTTTCTCCCGCAAGCGAACATCTCGCGGTAGCTTCGTGGGACAAGAAGGTCCGCATCTACGAGATCAACGAACAGGGTCAGAGTGAGGGGAAAGCTCTTTTTGAGCATGAAGCTCCAGTCTTAAATTGCTGCTGGTCACCGGTAAAGATTTTACTTCTCGTCATGAGTCTTCTGTTTGACCTGCTAATCTTTGTGCTTTTGGCTAGGATGGAACGAAAGTTGTCGGAGCTGGCGCCGACAAAGCTGCACGCATGCTGGACCTCGCAGCCAACGCTACTACTCCCGTTCAAGTCGCTGCCCACGATGCTCCTATCCGGTGCTGTCATATGATTCCCAACCCTGCTGGAAACTCTTCTCTTCTTGTGACTGGTTCATGGGACAAGACCGTCAAATACTGGGACCTGCGGCAATCCACCCCTATTGCGACGGTTGAGTGCCAGGAACGTGTCTACACCATGGACGTCAAGAACAAGCTGCTAGTGGTGGGAACGGCAGACCGATACATCAACATCATCAATCTTGACAATCCCACCAAGTTCTATAAGACCATGCAGTCACCACTCAAGTGGCAGACGCGGGTAGTCAGCTGCTTTACGGATGCCACTGGTTTCGCTGTCGGTAGTATCGAAGGACGTTGCGCCATTCAATATGTTGAGGACAAGGACTCTAGTTCCAACTTCAGCTTCAAGTGTCATCGCGAAACTCCTCCAAACCAACGAGATATCAACAACATTTACTCGGTGAATGCCATTTCCTTCCATCCGGTCCACGGCACATTCAGCACCGCAGGTAGTGACGGTACCTTCCATTTCTGGGACAAGGATGCCAAGCATCGTTTGAAGGGATACCCGTCTGTGGGAGGCACGATCTCCAGCACCGCCTTCAACCGCAATGGCAACATCTTTGCATATGCCGTCAGCTACGATTGGAGTAAGGGATATTCAGCGAACACGCAACAACTTCCCAACAAGGTGATGCTCCATCCAGTAGCGCCAGAGGAGGTGAAGCCAAGACCTGGTACGCGGAAGAGGTAGAGGGGAGAAAAAACTGGCCTGTTCGATGGTGATAATCGGGGAGGGGACAACCGGGCCTGGCTTTATCCTGAGTAAACGGCCAACCATGAGCCCTTGATGTATGATGACGGGCTCTGGTGAGCAGTCTTGGGTGTTTCAACCTGAGGCCTGAATTCTCTGAATGTTCTGTTTCTCTCTGTTTTATTCGTGCCTTTCCCCATGTATCATATGAGCGATTCGTCATTGCTTTTTCTTCTGGGATGGGTTTTCTTTTTCTACTATCTCGGAATGACTGAGGAGAGTAGATCAACTTGCGGCAAGATCGGAGTCTTCCGTTGTCGAAGGAGGGTACAGGCGTAAAAATCTACAACGAAGAAGAAAGGAAGCCACGCTACTTAGAATATTACGACGATAATTTTCGAGCAACCAATACCCCTTTGACCTGATGAAGATTGTAGAATTGTAGTGTCGCGTTTGTTCAGAGAGTGATGACGATCGTAACAGAACAGGTGGAAGTCGATGCCTGCCTCCAGTTAGTTGAAACCAACCTGAAGGCTGCGTTTCGCATTTATCCTTTACGGATTATTCGTCCAACTTCCCCAATTGTGTAAGCCTGAATAGGTCGTCGCTGCGATGTCGAGAACCCCAGACGAGGGCGCTGTCCGGGCCGAAGGGCAGCAAATGAATGGGACTTGTGCGTAATATCCCGAGTGCAATGCTCCCTCTGTTTCCTCTTTCCCTCTGAGTAAGTCTGGCAAAAGTAATGACACGCACTCGGTCATAGGAAGGGGAGCGCAGGCTAGTGGAAGGATGGATACAGTTCGCTTTGGATGGATCAATGGTGGATAACAGCTTCAACGGAAGACATAGTTCGATGATGGCGGCATCGCGCGGCCGGTTTTGCGGGGAAGAGCCCAAGCTCCCTCTTAGAGTTCCCCACATTCTTGGCTCTCCAACTCGATGGTCGGTCGGTAGACTCGGTACTAAGTGACTGACCCAAGTAGCGTTAGAAGTTGGAAGGCAGAAGCTCGCTAGAAGGCAGACTGGTTTGAGCAATGACATAGTAGGTGCCGTCGTCTCAAAAGGGTGACCCGATGAAAAGTCGTTTCAGACAGTGTAAGAAAGCGGTTCCACATTGTGGAGTCGACGAGACTGCAGAGTTGCGGTTTGAAGCAGGTAGTCTAATCGTCGAATGTGCTTCAGTTGACCCTTTCCTCCTTTCCTTCTCTGTGGTATGTTATGGCTTTTTGAAAGCATTACTCCGGTTGAAAAGCATGTGGTGCGAGAGAGAGCCCCTGCATTCTCTGCTGGTGCTTTGAAGGTAGATTCAGGTGAGCATTGTTGTACATCCTTTGCTGTCGGCACACTCAAGCACCAATTTGAAGAAACATCAAATTCAGATGATGGACATCGCTGTAAATGACGGTCGGAAATTGATGTTTTAGACTTTTCAGCCCGAGAGAAGAAAGCTGACCGTAAGACGTCAATAATTGCCAGCACCTTGTCCTCGTCTCCTGCAGTTTGAGTGGTCTGATAATGGGAAGAGACTACTATGAAACCCGCCCCTTGTGAGCATAGCCACCGAGTCATTACTGAGCTCCTGTACCTTGAAAGTTGATCAGTACCTCAGGTAGGCAAGCATATGTTTTGAAAAGGAAGTTTCGCAAAAGTTTACAGTGATAATGTGACTTCCATTGCCACCGTAATATCCTTATTAGAGAGGAGGTAAGAGAACATCTGAAACACCAGGTCTTAGAAGATTCCGTCTTCTACCAAGTCGGACGTGTACATTGTATATCAAAGGTATCACACCACCCTTGGCCACACCCAAAACCGAGACCCACCCTCAACACTATGGTAAAGTCACTAATTATGGTCGTAGTACTCCGTAGGTAGTTTTCCTAAGGATTAGTGGTTCTAGAAGTGTTAGCTGACCCGATGTGCTTGTTAGTTCCATTAGAGGTATTATCAGACAATTACAAAGATAACTGATCAGGAGACTGGCCGTAGATCATCACGTGACTACTGGTTATCTTTGCCCACTTTTGGTTATGGCTACCCCCAACCAAATACCTGACCCTCAGGAGCCATTGATGTTCGAATCGGAATGGGACTGTCGACCCACGGAAACATGCAACTCTCATACGAGGTAAGGAGAACATTGCCGTGGCTGATGAGTGGTGGATTCGAGCTTCGACTGCCGCACGTGAGGTCATTCTGTCCCCGGATCAGCCTTCCATTGGCAAGGTTCATTCGTTGTTCGGGGTCCTCAGTCTAAGCCCTATTTTTTTGAGTGGTGTCGTCAAGACTCAACATCTGCTTAGCTAGCTACTTGCAATTATCTGGCAAATACAGTTCTTCTACAAAACATAGCTCGATGTTCATCCAATGACTTTTCTCGCTGCATAATAACTACTGACGATCGAGGAGGCCAACGGAGGACTTTGGTACCTAAGGTCATACTCAGACGCCAAGTGGAGCGCGGGAATGCGGGGTGCAGCCTTAGAGTTAACAGTCAATGTAACTGGAAGAGTAGATAGTGGATCCCGCCTACCCTGAGCTCTTAAGAAACGTCAGGCTCGCGTGTGATCCGGTTCTCCCGGGGAAGCTATCATACAGATCATACTAATGAGGAGTTGGAGGCATCGTATTATTGAGTACAGAGGTATCGAAATCCACGACTTTCTCCAGAAGAAAGTATCTCGTCTATCTAGACGTTGGAATATCGATAATTAATGATCAACCGATGGATGGATAGGTACACAACACGGACTAGAAACACTAGATGCATACGCATCCATACATAGGTAGCTCTACGGCCATATGATCCTTGTTCCGTCATTTCCCCTTCCTCCTTAGTCAGTTCTACGATGTACCTGTATATTGCGAGGGGAACTGATGTTGTGCCTTACGGAGATGATGAAGTCATATCGCCATAATAGCCAAGAATGCCAATCGGCCAACCAACATTCGGAGCTCATCATGCGATACCTTTCTGGAAGCAGAAGGATTGGTCTGTCCCCTTGATAGCTAGCTACCTCCCTAGGCAGGTAGCCTCGATCTAGAGGCTTCGACCCCGCTCCGGCTTCAAAAGGTCATTGACTCAACTCAAAATGCACGCATGGTATGTTTCCAAACAGTGGGTCCACCACCATCATCATCTTCTCCTTCATCTTCACCATCAATTAATGCTCAGCGACTGGATGGTGTAGATACTTACTACTGTACAAACTATTGATGAACAGAGGATGTAGATGTGCCTAAGATAGCTACGTAGCGAAGTCGGGTAAGTACCTTCCTGGTAGAGTCGTACAGGTCATTCCGTGTGAAAGATACAGCGGAGGTACAAACCATTCTGCCGACGCATCCATGGTGCTGAGCCCATTAAAGGTATCCATGATTCGATCTCCTCATTCCTCCTTTGGTAGAACCACTCAGCTCCCCTCAAGGACTCAAGGTCACCTGCCTCTTCCCCTCTCGCCCATCCTTTTCCTCCTCTCTTCTTCTCTCCTTTCCTCTTCTTCCCCTTCTCTCCCTTTCCATCCATTGATACTCTTTGGATTCCATCCGTAACCATCATCAATTTGTCCAACAATCTGGTAAGCTTTCTTCGTTCCTGCATTTCTCCCCTTCTCGTCCTATCAGCTGTCCATCCCTCTGTTCCCCTCCATCAACCGTCCTTCATCGTCGCTGCAATATCCTTGCAGTCTATACCGTTGTCATGTGGGCGAGAAGCTAATCCACGAGGGTCGCTTCTCTCTTAGAACCATTCTCAGTTCCAATATACTCGTCTCTTTGCTTCTCTAATCTCCAGCACCATCAGTTGCAACCATGTCTGCCGAACTCACCAAGGTCGACTCTGCCATCGCCGGCTTGTCAATATCACCCAAGGACGAAAAGGCCCCAGATAAGGCAGAAAAGAAGACTCACAAGCGCACTACGTCCCAATCAGAAGGTGTCTGGAACATCAAGGATCTTGGTAAGTCTTTATTCCAATGTGTTACTTGGAGTATCCAAGTTAGCTGCGCTTTGCTTGCAGCAATGAGTGTCTGCAGTAAGCTTATACTCTCGAGCGTAGAGGCACAGAAGATTGAGTTGTCATTGCCCATCGAGACACAAAAGACTGGATGGTAAGCCTGACTCCACCATGCGGTAACGGAGTTCGGGTCAAATCAAGCTCATGCATGGGGGTACAGGAAGCTCAACACGTCTCCAAACACCATCGAGGACAAGGACGTTCTCAAGATGTACCTGGTGACCCCACCGGTCAAGAAGATTGACCTGGTATGGCCATTGGGTCTGTCTGTCACTGCTCGTAACCTCAAGGGTGTCACAGTCAAGGATGCGCTGGACGCAATCTACAAGCAATTCAAGAAGAAGGCACGCCTCTCTGCTCACTTTTCCGTCGCCCTTCATGCCATTTCACTACTGACCGTTCCCTTTAGGCTGATGATGAACTGGATAAGCCCTACCTCGCTGGCTTCGAGTGGGACAAGGAGGAGTGCTGGACACGCCTCATCGTCCATCAGACCAAGAACGGCCCACCCGCAGCACCCAGCAAGAAGTCCAAGAAGAAGAAGGACGAGGCATAGATACCTTATGCATCCTACCCATCATAATGGCGAGGTCTGGTTATCTTCCCCTCTCTTTTTTTTTTTCTTTCAATGGCTTCTCCTATCCATTCGCCAAGGGCCAAAGCACCTCTGTCTCACGTCTCGCTTCCCTGCATGTAGTTTCATGGGCGGGTTCAAGATGTAGAAGCAAAGATGGCTGGTGTTTGAATCTGCTTTGTAACTCGATATTATGGATCAGCTGTGCTCGAATCTCGTCTTTTCTTTCTTCATCATTTGCATGTCACTACCCCACCGCTTCCTAGCGAATGCTGGTGTGTCTCGGTGTATGTGGGTGTATGCGTCTGTGGCCGGTCCGACCTGCTCGCTGGAGGTGAAACATCGTATCATGTCTCTGCAACATGGATCATGTATCAAACCAGGAGCTTATTCACTCATTTATTAACCATTAATGAAGACATCTTAAACCGAGTCGCTCACACTAGACATCAAACTGGAAGCTTGGGAGATCTCGGATCAGCATTCAAAAGCCTTGATGGGCAGCGTCGGGGTAATGGAGTTCCACTTCGAAATGTGCTTTAGAAACACCAAATCTTGATCTGCCTGTAGGCTTTGCCAAAAGAGAACGACATTTTGTGAGTCTTTCGATCACTTAGACTTGAGAGGAACTTGGCGGTGAAGAGCTCATTAGTCATTACGTCTGCCGTGTAGGGAGGATAATTATTTAGGGCTGAAGCGATATCGCCTGATGCGAGTTTTGTCTGATTTCCTCAGGTGACTGACTAAAAATATTCACAAGAAATTCTGATCATTTCACTAGAAAGTAGTATGCGATGCGTGTGGATCATGGCTCTGTTCGTCTGCTGTCGTTGGAGAACGTGATCTCATCATGAAGTGTCTCGTATGTACGATACATGGGCAAAGGGGAGAAAGGGAGAGAGAGATGGAGAGAGAAAGAAAGAAAAATCATTTCGCACCGCCAAACAATACCAACACCACTTCGTCTAGAATGCTAAATATCAAATGCGAGTTCAAGCGCTGGTTGTTTAGCGTAGCAAAGATCCTGCGAGCTGCTCCTTGAGCATTGGCTCGCCCGACGACATTGCCTGCCACATCGGGGATCAGAGTCGCCAGCACCAGGCTAGCTTCCGTCCGGCTCTTGAGTCGCTCGGATGCCGTGCGGACCTTGTTCTGGCGCAAGACACCTCCAGGCCACATAGTCTCCTTGGCCATGCTAAGATAGCGGAGGAGGGATTCGTCCTGAACCAAAGACCGGGCGCCTTCACGGACCTTGCGTTCGATCGTCCCACCCAGCAGTTGATGGAGCACAACCACAACTGCGCGCCCACGCAGCCAGTTGTTGCCTTTATTCAGCTCAAATGCTTCCAGGAACAGATCACAAATAGGCTTGATGAAAGGCTCCAGCTCGCGGTCTTCGAATGCGTTTAATTCGGCTACGGCTTCGGCTGCCGTGACTGCATCCTCGGTAGCTAGCCCGGAGTTGGACACTAGACTGGTTTGATGATTCGTAGCCGCAGATATGAGATTCTGGCCGGCCGCTGATAGTTGGTCCAGTACACCGAAATTGCCGAGGAAATCATCCATCCCGTCAGCGACCGAGTTGTAGATACGGGTCACTAGATCCTTGGTCTCCCCGTCGCGTGGCGTTTCGTCGCGAGGGATGATGGCTCGCTGTGATAGGAAAGCCCGCAGGTCCCGGCTCCGGCACACCTCGGGAAGCAGCAACAAGTTCCGTAGGTAAGCCTCTAATGCTAACCGACGCTTCTGCAGAAACTCTTTTTGAAGCTTCATTACCATACGACGCCGAGGAAACTCCAAATGACGAACAGATGGGTATCTCATCCGTAGCCTTTGATGCAGCTCATGGAACTCACTATACCTGCGAGCAACGGCCCAGGATGCAGCCGGCATCTGCTCGCCGGCGTTTCTTTGCACTTCAATCACGTCTGAAAGATTCCGAGTTAGTTACTACAGCAAATGAAGGGCAAAGCAGGATACTGGAAGAATAGACATACACATCGCATACTCTCGGCCGTCTTCCTCTTTGCCCACTACAATGGACTGGATTCGGACGGTCGAGCGGCCGTATAAGCTATTGTCACTTTCCTGAATGATATATTGTTGTCGCTGCATCTCCTTGCGGTGAAACTCACGCTGAATGCTAGCCTTAGACTTGCGCAGGATCCTTAACTCGGCAGTATTGTTCGTGAGGTCGGCTTTCCGGGTCAGAGCATCTATCACGGCCTCTTGAGCAGCGAGCTTCTCAATGTCAGCGGTAAGCGCCTCGATTGCCTCGGTCAGACCGAGATCTCCCGGAGCGGCCTCTTGAACTTCGTCCGCAGGATCCTTGTCATCTGTCTCAGGAGGTTCGTCATATTCATCCTCCAGAAACTTTTGCTGATCCGGAAAGAGTTCATCATCGAAAACGCCAATTCGAGATGACTGGTCAACAAGCCCAAGCGAAGCAATGCTTGGTTTGGCTTTATTGTCATCCGTTCGATTGTCCAATCGTCCCAAGTCTCCTGTACTGCGCGGAGATTTGAGACCTCGATCAACGCTAAACGATCGGGCCGATCCAGAATCAATATACTTCACATCTCCTAAATTTGCATTTCCGGGGTCGTTCGTGATGATGTCATTCAAAGCAGCCTCCATTGACTTGATGGCCTGGTTTTGGGTAGCATCATTGAAGCCACTTTGAGAGTCGGTGCCGAGACTGTGTGTAGAAGCTGCGAGAGGGTCTGTATCGTAGTCATCATCGAACAATGGCGCTGATCGCTCGGAATCAATGGACCGTCTCGTCTCCTCCTCATCATCAAAGAGCTTGCCCATACTCCGGACGTCACTAGAGGACGCCACAGCCCTCCGCAGATCCTTCGGCTTTTGCCCAGGGTGCGAGGCGGTACGAGCCATTAAGGGAGGCAGAGGCCGTCTGGCAGGCGACTCGACTGGTGCAGGCGACGCACGAGATCCGGCAACGGAAACTTCGTCTGATGCGAGGTATTTGTAGTACAGGTCGGATTGTTTGAATTTGGGGTAGTACACAGTTTGTAGCTCTTCCAGGACCGCGGACTGGGTGCTTAGAACGACCGTCCGTGCTTTACGGTACTGTTCTGGTGTAGCCCGTTTGCCTGCACTTAGAAAAGCCTTGACAGCTCGACGTGCTTCTTCACTGACTTTGAGTTCGGGCTTGGCCAGGTAGGTTTCACTAATGAGAGCCATATCATTCCGATCCGCTGTGGTCCAGGTTGAGGAGCTCGGCGATGTCTCATCACCATAATCATCCTCAAGTGGGTTGCGGAAGCCGTCAACGACGATCCAGAATTGCACAAGTGACATGAGCTTCTGCCGATCCATAAACTCCATGAAGTAGGAGAGACCGGATGCATCATGCATCACATCGACCAAGGACGCCTCGGGTTTACTCGAAGAGCTATTGCGACGATAATGAGACTCAACAGCGTTTGCATACGGCGTATTGCTTCCCCCGGGGGCTGATAGTTTAGCAACCTTTTGGTCCAAAACTCTTTTGCCAGTTTCCAGGCGCCGGAGGTAAACCGAATCCTGACCTTCTACCATAGATTCCCGTTTCAGTTGACTTGCGACCAGCGCTCTAAAACGCCTGGCATCGGATAAATTGTTACAACGCCGAATCGCTCGGACAAACCGCTCAAAGGCCCTTTCTGAATCGTTCGGTGCCAGTTTGGGAAATGGGTGACCACGTTTGGACTTCGGGGCAGGCGAAGCATGTTCGTCGAGAGCCGCTCGTATCTTCTGAACTGTTTTGCGATCTTGGATAGTTGTTCTTCCGTAAGCTTCAACCAATTGATTCCATGTATCTGGGTCCGATAGGACCGACACTAGAGGAAAGAGAACAGCGCAAGCTAATATCTCACGGATCAGAACGGTTACCATACGGCTGTTCAAGACATGCTCAGGAAACAGCTTTGGTAGTAACCCCAATGTGATCTTCCGTAGATACTCCTGCTCCACAAGTTTCTGATCGGACACAGAGAGCGCCGCGGCGGGATGAAGACGACCATCACGATACTTTTTAGCGATGGCGAGGTCCAGCTCCTCAGATTCGGTCAAATTTCGCGTCAGATTCCGTCCGCGCACAGATCTCTCTGCAACGTCGAATTCCTTCAGATGAGCGGTCAGGATCGGAAAGATACGCGACACGACCAGCGAGATCAGATCCTCTGCAAGCAATCGATTACATAAATTTCCGATAGCGGCTCGAATGACTCTATCCACTTCATTAACAAAAGCCGGATTCGGGCTTATATGCTGATACCAAGATGCGATAAAGTCCCGTGTCACCAGAGACAAGAGCTCATCAATACTCTCCGATACAATGAACGACTGCGGGTAGAGGGAATCTGCGCGGTATGTCGAGCGCGCGCGAATGCCTTCCACTTCTCTGGGCCAGTGCTTCGGGAGGAGAAATGCGAGAGGAAGGCTGCTAGGTCTAGGAGGGTTTGCGCTATCTAAGGGCCGAATCGTGAGAAACACCACCGCCAGCAACGCGGTACACGAGAGCAGAACACCCAATACGAGGGCATATCCCAGATATCGCAAAATTGGAAGCCAGCGAACAAACAAGCCCCATGCAATAAAGCCACCAGTGCTAAAAAGAATAATGTCGCGACGATTTAGGGCCATTCTCCCAGGTAGTATGAACCGATAGGCGAGGGTCGTCCCATGACGCTCAGTAAAGGAAGGCAGAACGGATGAGTGAGAGGAAGGGTAGCATGATCGGAAGTAGTGCAGAAACCGAATCGAAAGGACTATCAAGCTATTATTAGTACTCGTTAAGGTAATAACAGCAACGACAAAACAAACATCAGAACAATGGGAAGGTACCTGCGCGGCCTGAGAGAGGTACACTGATAGATACGGAGGCAGATAGATAGACGTTGGCGGTGAGGAGTTGGAGCTTCGAGGTCCACCAAACGTGGGGAGTGTTTACTGATGAGACCTGAGAGTTGCCTGGAAAGGTAGACGCTCACATCTTTCGCCAGTCAATTGCTTAATGAGCTGAAGCAAATCTGATTAAAGTAGCTTCGTTATACCTTTGAGTCACTGGACAAGTTCAAAATAAAATAATGTTTATCTCAAGTTACTGATTCGATACTGATCAGGTCATGTGACCCATGAAGCTCTAAAACAGACGTCATGTCATGTGTTCACCTTACCTGTTTACCGGGGTGCTAGCACCTGCCTGTGCCTGAGGTTTACTTTGACGTACTGTTGTTTTTTTTTTTCCGTGTTCCTCGACAACCCCTCCCCTAAGACCATACCCAGCTCGAATTACTTTGTCCCATTCTTGACCCATTTTGAGTCTTCTAGTGCTCCTCCATCATGGCCCACCTTGTAGATTATATCGATTTCTCTCAGAGATCTTTCCAAGGTACAATTCTCTGTTAATTGTTACCAGTCCTATGCATGTGACTTCATGACTGACCAGCATTGTAGGATGTGCTCTCTTCATCCTGTTCAATCCACTGTTCTGGAAGTAAGTCCTGTGCTGAAATTGCCTGTCTCTCAGCTCCTTTTCCAGTCTGAGCGCTCGTGGGCTAACTTACGCGTCGCTTGTAGCATCGTTGCCCGTGCTGGTTGGTTTAAACCTCCCGTTCCCTTAGGCTCGAATCCAGGAATACTTGCTTATTGTCGCAAACCCGATTCCTTTTCCTTCTTGTAGAGTACCGAAAGCACTACTTGACTCGTATGTTCGGTAGCCCCTACTACGGATGCTACTTTCTCGGATTCATCATCTTTACCCTGGGCCTCGCTCGCGACCATGTGTATCAACTGGCCCTCCAGGATCAGCCTTACTACGCCCCAGTGCACCAACCGATTTTAGGCTCCGTCCTGTTCGGCATCGGGTCTATCCTCGTTCTGTCTAGCATGTATGCCCTTGGCGTCACCGGAACCTACCTTGGAGACTACTTCGGCATCCTCATGGATGCTCCCGTCACCGGTTTCCCCTTCAATGTTACCGGTTCCCCATGTACTGGGGCAGCACCCTGAACTTCTTGGGTGTGGCTCTCTACTTTGGCAGGGTCGGCGGTCTCTTACTCACTGCGGAGGTCTTCATTGTATACTGGATCGCTCTCCAGTGGGAGGAGTAAGTCACCCGATTCTCTTCCAGGTCCTCTGGCCTTGATCGGGTCCTATATTTCCAAGTGTCCTCACGGGAAGAGAAGATGTAATGGAAACTGACCGTGGCATTGTAGTCCTTTCACTGCGGAGATCTATGCTAAGCGTGAACGGGAACGTGCAAAGTCCAAGAAGGGCGGCAAGGGCTTGTAAAAGTAACATACCGTCTGCGTGCAGTAACACTCGAGACCGAAGACTCTGCAGGATTAGTGCCTTGGACTTTCAACATCCCTCACAATCCTCACGAGTCATGGACATGCCTTGGTTTTCGACAAGACGATTTGTGTGGCGCTTACGAGCTCACGATTTACGTCTTTCATTATAGAGGGAGAAAGGGGACAGATTGTGGGAATTATCTTCAACGATCACTTCCAAAGTGACATCGCGGCCACTCCAACCTGCGTAAGGCACCAAAAGTTTACATGGTGGAGGCATATAGTCGGATGGTGATACAACGGGCGAAAGAAGGTCGCTGAGAAAGGTTGGCCCATGCTTCTAGTACATAGTTCCTGTCACTTTCAGAGGATGATATACCAGAGATGTAGTTTAATGTTGGTTTTTCGCTATTTAGAATGCCAGTCTTTGATTCCTTGCCGGCCTAGTCGTTCTCCAAGTCAAAATGTCAAGTAGAAGTCATCCTGAGATCATTCAAACAATTAACCTCCCACACAAAGACTCCGCCAACTCCATGCTATGTATCTATTCAAAAACTGTTGAATTGCGTGCGATTGAAGCCGTTCAATACGGCCTGTTAACCATGTCCCGAGCCAGATGAAAAAACCAAGAAGAGAATGAAAGTTGTCTATGCCCGTCGACCTCGTCCTCGTTTGCCTGTTGCTCTGCTCTCCTCGACCGTTTCGATCTCATCTTCGTCGACTCCCTTTTTGAGTTCTTCCCCTTCGGCGAGACCCCATTTTTCAGGATCGTACCAGTCCTCTCCATCACTCAACTCGCCGACGTGCCCTTCCGCTTTACACCACTCGAAGACGTCTTCCTGCATCCGACACGCCCGGAGCAGGCACTCAAGCATGTGCTCGAATCCTCGAACGGTCTCTTCTTGCTTCTGAATAAAAGACCAAAGTAGCCGTCGCGTTTCTTCAGCTTCATTGGCAGGTAATCCAAAGTTGGGATCAGGTAGCACAGACTCACGTACGAGGAATAGCGGATGTGGCGCCGGAAGTGCGTTGAGTGTGTCAGTGGAAGCCGACGGGGAGAGCTTGCTAGAATCTTGGTCGGGTTCTGGATTTGAAGCATTTGCTTGCGCTCGTGTAGTCATGCGTCGAGGCGGCTCTGGTGATGAGCCATCCTGCATCTCCGTGTCCGTTTCATCTCGTGGATCGTCTTGTTGTTCGGCTTCGGCTTCCGCTCCTTGCTCGTCATTTGCTCGAACCTTTCCTTTCCCTTCTATAGGATGCTGGTCCGGATTCGCTACAGAGTCATGGCCCTGCTTCCCACCAGCCACGGTGTGCCCATTGATCTGTGATTCCGAATTTGCAGTGTCTCGGTGCGGGGGAAGATCCGTCACAGCCGCGTCGACTTCCTCGGACTTGGGTTGCATCGACTGATCGTTTTTGATGGTGTTATCGTCTGTCTGCACCTCCGCCTCGTTGTTCTGAGTATCCATCATCTCAACGTCTTTTCCTCCTGCCTGGGCTGCTGGCGACTCCTGGTTGGGTTTATCTGCTGCAGCCGAATCAACCAGCCCGTTTAGCGCATGCTCGCCGGACGGTGAACCGCGCATCGCATAAGACGTCCAAGGCTCGAATAATAACCGATCTTCCGCCGTTTCAAACAATCCGCAAGGCATCCAGGACCCATCCCCAAGGAACTGTCGATGAAGATTCCTTGCTCGCCACAACAAAGCGCGCTCCTGTCGAAGTTTCGCTTCAACAGCTTGGGTCATATTTCTAAGCGCCTTCGAAGTGTAAGCGTGCGATAACGACGGGTGGGTGGGCAGCTCCGACGGATGCTTCAGAGGACATAGGAGGTCTGGAGGATAAGGCGGAGAGATGTCAGCTGTCTAGAACATCGCTGAACCAGCGAGAGAGTGCAACCACGTACTTTCCAAAGCGATTTCGGAGAATGGATTCTCTTCAGCAGCAGCCGCATCCGCCTCCGAGTCTTCATCATCCTCATCAAGCTCGTCACCCTCCGAATCATAGCGCACCGGATTACGTTGAAGGATATAGCGAGTGTATCCGGCGTGTTCAATTTTCTAGAGCCCATGTCAGCCGTTCTGTTTCCGTAGCCCCGCGCGCCATCGTCGATGTTTCAAACACAAAGTCCGGTAGGTCGGCAAAGTTACCTGCTTGTACAATTGCTCTGGATGGATGTATCCTAGAGCGCCCTCTCGCACGTACTTCGCATTGGCCCGTAATTTGTTGCCTCTATTCGTCGGCTGAGTGATCGGTTCATCGGGACCTGAGTCTTCAGCATGAACAAGTCAGAAATAGCCCAGAAAGTGACCATTGATCGCAAGAGGGGGGCAAATAAGGAAACGCAGGTATATACACTCTGTCTCTCTTCGTAAGGCTCTTTTCATGCCAATAATTGTATCGGCGATCAGGGCCGCTTGCGCTGCCATGATTGGAATGGGTCCGATTGACGGCGTAATGGGCGAACAGAGCAACAAGCAGCGCAAGAAGGGAAAGATGAGCTAGTCGAAACGTCTGGCCACAATGGAGCTGTAAGTGGCAATATAGCAAGGGATAGTGATGAGCAGTCGAACCGCACGGCGTCCTTCTCTCTCCCTAGTTGCCGTTTTTTGTCTCTTGTCTCTGTCTTGTTATGTCTTTGTCCAGTCGTCTGGGGAGCTGCGGGCGCCAGGCACTTCTACGATCGGCGCCGCTAGTCTGTTTTAGGCCACCCTTCCCAGCGCGTGATAAGGGCTGACCACGTGATTAGCCCTGAGTCTGGATGACGTCTGTTGTCTACATAGTCGAGGGTGTGTAGTAACTTACTATCTAAGCTAGGTGACTTAGGGATAGATCGTCCGGCTCTACTGGTTCATTGTTGAGTTCGCAAAAGCTGTGATATCATTATCTAGTCGTCAGCGTCAACCCAGACCAAAACTCCCTTCTTATCTGACCGCATGTCTTCAGTTGGCTGTACCCGCAGGGCTTTGTTGAAATACGTATCCACGACATTCAATTGAGGTTGGATCCATAGCCCCCGCTTGGAAGCCAGGAGGTTATATCGCACTGTGTGTCTGCTTAACGGCACAAGCTGGACGACCGCGGTCTTCGGTCCGCTGAAAGCAAAATGCTCACTCGCCTCCATAGCGAGGTTGAAAGTGAGAAAGTGCATCGAAGGATTCTCCAACGTGTAGTCCAGGTGAATCAGACCGGGGATAGCTTCTGAAGCCAATGCCGAGGCAAGTACGCGGGGCTCTCCCACGGGCATCACGAAGCGCGGAATGGGTAGGGTAGTCGTGGTGATGGTAGCGCTATCCGCAGATGATGCAGCGGCGTCGGGGCCTATTCGACGCCATTGAATCTCTAGGGCTAGATTCAGAGCTGTCGGCCGTCGGTCTCCCAAGACCAACTTTTGAACCTCTAGTATAAAGCTGGACTCGCGAAGCTGCTCCGGACGTATTTCCAGCGCATGTGGGTCGGCGACTATTTCAGATCCAATATTGCAGACGGCTCCGCCTCCAAGGCTCAGTAGCACTAGCGTAATCTTTTCGATGACAAGCGGCTCGAGGGCAAACGAGACAATCTTGGAATTCAAGCACCATCGTTGCCGCAAGCCTCGAGGTTTAGGCGCGGTTTCGCCCTCAGCCAAGTCATCATCAATTGTAAAGAAATCAGGCCAGGGTTCGGGATGAAGGCGCGGAAGAAAATCATAGTTTGCCTCAAATGGTCGTATGATTGATAAGGCGAGTCTGTGTGTCGCGATGATCGGGGTCTGATAATCAGATAGCAGATTGTATACACAAGTAATTTGAAGCTCGTGCGTCGACGGTTCAAGGGTGTCTGTCAGCACAAGCATCAACTGCTGCCTGGATGACCTGTCCATGACACCAATGGACCGTTTTGCGACATGACGCGCCCCCTCGATGGGCGAACTATCCTGTGAACGAGGAGATATGGCCTCACCCTCCTCATCAAGCCACACAATCTGCGCCGCTGAGTCCGGGTGTCCAAAGAGTCTTACCTCTGCGGACACGTCTGCAGCCTCATCTTCTTCGTTGTAGATGTCCAGTTTGAGAACAGCTCGCTCGTTTGTGTAGTATGTCGCTCTGATGTCCGGTGTTGAAATTCGAATTTTTGGCGGTTTGGGCATGATCTTGGTCCGACAGGTATCCCGGTCTTTGCCCACACGTTTTCGGGCTACGCCGTTCGTGGTCTGCTGCCACCAAAAGGAGTCACGCTGGGTCAGATCTGCTGTTATAGCGCAGGCTAAGTCAAACCTCTCATCTTCAATAAGTAAAGTTATTGATGCCACCCTCGAATCTCCTGCTTCGCGAGGGACACAGGTTAGATTGAACACTCTAGTCTGAGCCGGCCCCACGGTCAGATCACCCATCCCTACCAGTGCTGTTAAGCCATTGCTCGGGGATAACAGGGTCGTCGAGTCCGCAGATGTGGGCTCACGTAGCGTTAGAGACGATATCGTGCAAGGAGTCATAATGTCAGCGGTCACGTTCTGGTCGGATTGGAGCTTCAGTGGACGGAGGCAGCCCTCGAAAACCACCTTGACCTCTGACAATCGTATTGGGTCCGAAGAACTCTGACAGAGAGAAGTAATTGTCAGCTGCCCCATGAGAGGCTCGCCAACATTTCCTTCCGACTTCTCGAAGACAAATGTGGCTGTGACTGTGGCCAGTGGGATGGTCAGGTATGGAGAAGCAGGAACGAGACAACAATAGGCAAGAGAACACTTACGGCTCGATATGACATCCTCGGCTTTGAGTGCGACAGATGGCTTGATTTCTGTGATGGGAAGGTCTCTAAGGCTCTGGTGGATACTGCAGTGCCAACCTGATCGTGGTTGAAACACTGTGCAGGTTACTCGTGAGTCAGTATAACAGGAGCAAAACAGTGAGCTTTATCAGACAATTGAAAGCTAGAACGCACCATGGTTCATCAGTTCCCAGTCGACTCTTAAAATCATCTCCCTATCCTGCATATGTAGCGCGCATTCCCTCAAAGCCCAACCGAACTTCTCCATGAGCGGCCACCAGCCAGCCTGTCGCCAAGTGAGCGTCGGCCATAGTGGACGAAGGGTCTCATATGCTTCAGTCCACGAGCCAACACGCATGTATTCTTCCGCTATTTCTAAGCTGAGGCTCTCCGTCTTCCGAACTTGCTTACGTTTTGCAAATTGCTCCAATGCTGCCCTCAGGGCGTTCAGAATTTGTTGTGAATGATCAAAGCCGGTTGAGCCTGGCTGCGGCGCTTCGATATATGGCTCTGGGGCAAGATAGGTGTCGTACATATAAGTCTTGTTCGCGATCTGAGAAGCAGGTAATTGCCCTGGTGGTATGCGATCTTCATCTGGAATCTGCTCGGCTAGAGTGCGTCGAGTCATCGCATGTTTCGCGGATCGGTACAACCAATAACCCTCATGGTGAAGGAGCTCCCAGGGGCACAAGGCATCGCTAAGAGGTGTTGTCTTTTCAGGGGGGACGAAGATCAAATACTGATCCTCGTCTCCCTGTTGGGACGACGTGCTGTCAGAAATGCCAGGGATGTTGGCCTGGCGTATGAGCTGTGCCATTGCCATCGACCATCGAGCCTCCCAGGCTTCCCACCCGTAGTTCCTGGTTCCCTTACCTCGCCGATTGATAATATCACGGCAGCGAGTACGATGGTTGACCCATGAACGTACCGCAATGCGGGTTTGTCCGGTCCACAATAAGCAACGAATTATGCGGATTGCCAGAGCATCAGACAAGAGACGAGCATCATTAAACCTTGGATTCCAACCGGCGATATTCTCAAAGACATCCTGCCCAAACAGAGTCTCATAAGCACTCTCGTAGTTCCTTAATGCGGCATCGATCTCTTGGCGAAACTCGGCGAAGATACCAAGTTTAAACTCATAGCGAACATTCCATCCCTGGAGCGACAGTGTCTGTGATGTTCCGCTTGTGGGTGGTGCCGTTGGCGGAGGGACTGCGCCGCGGTTACGTTTCCGTCTTGCGTGTTTAGATAGGTCCCGATAATATTCTACCACCAACGGCTGTAGCATGTTCAATAAAGACTTTGTGAACTCAATCAATGCCGCAGAGGTTGCATCAGGTGGGAGAAGAAGAACGGATTTCTGGTCCAGACTCGTCGCTCTTCGTATGCTCGTGATTCGCTCCTCCGTCTCCTCCTTGTTATAGCCAAGAGTGCTTTCCTCAGACAGGAGGACGACAACGAAGCGAGTTTTGTAACCAGAGTCAGACCATTCTTTCTTCAGTCCATTAATCTCGATCTTAAGTTGATTGTCGCGGAGAGAGCTCATGTTGGGGTCCAGGCAGAATGGGAAGAAGTTGATGACCGCCGCGGGGACGAGGTTTTGGTGCTTCGTCACCCAGAAAGGAGTGAGTAGACCATCAGGAAATGTAGGAGAACTTGGTGTCAAGGGGGAAATAGGCGAGTGCAGGACGAACGATGGCGCTGTATTTATATCATTTTGTTGTTCGCCTGTCGGACTCGTCGGAGGAGACAGCGGCGGGGGATCAGCTTTCCGCGGGGGAAGTCTGTATGACTGCGTTTGTGTTAGCAATAGCTCACTTCGCCTTCAACAGGAACACTCGACATCCTCGCGGCATCTAGGATGTACAGAGCAATTACAATAGGCTGTGCTCAATGCAAGTGCTTCATCGTGTCCGATCGCAGGAGGGACGTCTTGGAGGGACTGATTCATCCGGTGGATGAGAACCTACCCTCCCTATACTCTTGATTTTGTATCCAATCCCTGAATACCTCGTACTTGTAGGTTCCCTATTGTCCCATGGCACTTCTGACGCATCTTCCTCCAGAAGGTTCCTCCGCAATTCCTCCGCGGTCGGTCCGCTTAGAGGTGGAAAGTCCGAGTATATTCTTGGTCCCTTTTCGTCGAGGAGAGGGTACTCGGGACCGCTCGATCCAGCTTCATCTGGAGGGTCGGCTTCTAGCCCGGAGAGAAGGATGAAAGGAAGGTTGTGGACCACATAGTCTTCGGGGTAGGCGTCCATGACGGACAATGGTCTTGTCGTGGGATGTAGATCACCGCATATCTGAATTCAAACGTCTGCTGAGGCCACCACAAGGGATGACCGCTAGGTTTGTTTCTCGGTTGTTAAGGCAGTGTTGTTTGTTTTCTCTGACGATTGAAAGCACGCCTTTCGCTTGACTCCTATGATGGCATAGGCTTTCTTTTGGTGGTGGATGTAGACCTAAGCGTTCGCTTCCTCTGCCAAGCCACAAGCATGTGTTTTGGTTCAACATCATCAACAGCGCCAAGCCTAAGTACTTCCGGGCTATCGGACTATCGGCGGAGGTGCTACAGTCCCGTACGACAACATTGACACCCGCATTGTAGACTACCAGATATCTGTAAATGTTTCAAAGTCTCTATCAGTCAGGCGAGGGTTTTCTGCAGTGGAGCTAGCTCTGCTGGCATGCGAGAAGCGACCCGGAGTCTGTGGTAAATAGTAGCTCATGAGCCTCGTTTGCGCGAAATTATATATATTTCATTGCAAGACCAAGTGGGCCAGCCTTTCGACTTGCAAGTACAAAAGCAACTGTTGAAACACTATGGCGAAGAGAAAAGCGTCAAAGCGCTTGTCTACGATATATCAACATAT